GATTTATCGGATTTGGACTCTTTGGTTCAGATTAAGAACCGTGACGATTCGAGAGTCCGAACTGTAGTGAGCCCACAATGAACAAAACGGGACTCACCCTCCCAAGGTGTTCGGGGACGTCTACACTTGCATGTTCTAAGCCCTGTAGATGTCTTCATCTATATCTAATCTTAGAAATCAACCCGTTGCGCTTAAGAACAACAACCAGAACTAACAGCACAAATTGAGAGCAATTTGTTTCTTGCATTGACTTTGTAATACTTAAATTCTTTTACATGTTTTCTCTTGACATGAGTTGGCTTATAGTCATGCACCAATATATTATTAGAGTTATGTTCTACATTGTTGTTAGTATCTTATAGTTCTTGCAAAATAAATTTCAGTTGTTTTTGTCAATCATAACTTACAAATACTTGTTATTGATATATACATTTTTTAATGTTCTAGAAACACTTTGGACACTTGTTTAATCGAGATTGTTTACTTATGGATAAGACATGGATGTGTTGATCAAGATTAAGTGATGCATACCAGAAAGGAGTTGACATGTTTCTTGATTTTGCATTTACTAATGCAAGTTATGAGGATAAGATCATATGTCCATGCATCAAGTGTGGACTTACACTTCCCGCCACTCGGTCAGTTGCATATGATCACTTAGTATGTGATGGCTTCACAAAGGGTTACACTAAATGGGTTTTACATGGTGAAGCATCATCTATTGCTACAACAGGTCTTGATACGCACATGCAGAATAGGCCACAATTAAATATTGATACACATGGATTAGTACACGAGGCATTTGGAATCTCAAATGACAGTGATAGAGTCAATGGAGACAACCCTGAAGATTTGGGAGATAAACTAAATCCACAAGCAGAGAAGTTCTACAAGTTGATACATGATGGACAAAAGGAGCTTTATCCACAATGTAGGAATTTTACAAAGCTCTCATTCATCCTTCAGTTATTTCATATCAAGAATTTTGGCGGATAGAGTAATAAATTGTTCACCATGTTATTAGAGTTATTGAAGGAGGCATTCCCAGAGGGTGTAACACTGCCTAATACTGTTTATGAAGTTGAGAAGATAGTCATGGAGTTAGGACTTAGTTATGAGAAGATTCATGGATGTCTCAATGATTGCATGTTGTATAGGAATGAGCACAAAACTGATTCTGAATGTTATGTTTGCCATACATCTAGGTATGTAATAGAGCAAAATGATTCAGGCAACGAGGCATCCTTTAAAAAAGGCAACTATAAAACACCTTCTAAGGTTCTACATTACTTTCCTTTGATACGAAGGCTACAAAGGTTATTCATGTCATCCAAAACAGCATCATCTATGAAGTGGCATAAAGAAGGTCGCACCAATGATGGTTGTATGAGACATCCTACCGATTCTCCAGCTTGGATGACTTTTGACCACCTACATCCTGATTTCGCAGCAGATTGTAGAAATGTCAGACTTGGGTTGGCGTGTGATGGTGTGAACCCTTTCAGAACATTGAGCAGCACGTATAGCACCTGTCCTGTAATTCTTATACCGTATAATTTGCCTCCATGGATGTGTATGAAGCAGACCAATTTTCTATTATCATTGATTATCCCTAGTCGTAGTGCACCTGGAAATAATATTGATGTGTATTTGGAACCTTTAATAGATGAATTAAAGGAATTATGGGTGGATGGAGTAGAGACATATGATGCATCAATTAAACAAAATTTCCAATTGCGTGCAGCATTAATGTGGACTATCAGCGACTTCCCTACTTATGCTTATTTGTCAGGGTGGAGTACTAAAGGGAAGTATGCATGCCCTTCATGCCACAAAGACACATGCTTCCAGTGGTTGAAGCATGGCCGAAAACATTGTTACATGGGTCATCGTCGATTCTTGGACAAACATCATGCATTTCGAGATGATGAGCGATCTTTTGATGGTACTAAAGAAAAAAGAACTGGACCCAATCCTTTAACTGGTTCTATGGTATTGGATATGTTACATGGCTTCAATATCACTTATGGAAAGATGAGTACTAATCCAGAATTACCATATAATTGGAAGAAAAGAAGCATATTCTTTGAATTACCATATTGGAAGGATAATCTAGTGCGTCACAATCTTGATGTGATGCACATTGACAAAAATGTATGTGAGAGCTTGCTTGGAACATTACTGAATTTAGAGGGGAAGACAAAGGATAATCTAAATGCACATCTTGACTTGAAACTTCAAGGTATAAGGCCTGAACTCCATCCAAAAGAAAATGCAGCAAATAAAACCATCTTGCCTCCTCCTTGTTTCTCATTAAAGAAACAAGAAAAAGATGTTTTTTGTAAATTTTTGAAGACTGTTAAAGTTCCTGATGGTTATGCAGCGAATATTTCACGGTGCATCGACTTAAAGCAGCGTAGAATCTTTGGACTTAAAAGTCATGATTGCCATATTTTGATGCAACAATTACTCCCTTTAGCAATTCGAGGAATGTTGAGTTCACATGTAACTTCACCTTTGATTGAGTTGAGTAATTTCTTTCGAGAGTTATGTTCTAAAGTTGGTTTGGCACAAGACTTTATGCGTCTTGAAAGGCAAATTCCGATAGCACTTTGTAAGTTTGAAAAAATATTTCCCCCTAAATTTTTTGATATTATGGTGCATTTGGTGGTTCAATTAGCATCTGAGGCTAGATTAGCAAGACTTGTGCATTATCGTTGGATGAAGTCGACCGGAGGGTAGTATGGCAAAAGGATACCTTGCAAATGAATGCTTGACATTTTGCTCGAGGTATATGGAAGGTGTTGAGACACAATTCAATCGGATGTCTCGAAATTATGATGAGGGGGGTAATGGTACCGAAGGATTATCTATTTTCTCAATGCCTGGCCGACCATTAGGTAAGGGCGTGATAGACACAATGGATGATGGCACAAAAGAAAAGGCACATCGATATGTGCTATTTAATTGTGAGACAGTCAACAAATTTATTGAGTAAGACACTCGACATGTGTAATCAATTTCATTATTATTATTATTATTGTTATTATTATTTTACATTCTTTTGCCACACCCTCACAAATCTTTTATATGGCATACAGACAACACCGTAGACTTGTTTCCATACAAAATCCACGTCTTCGTGAAATGGCCATTGATCGCATTCATAGTGAAACATTTCCAACATGGTTTGATAAACATGTAAGCAGTGTTTTGAAGTTCTTTAAAATTTGATTTGATATTAACTTTAATTTCATTCAACACTTACAAAAGTTATGTCATCAATTGTCTGAAAACAGGTTGAGGAATTGCATAATGCAGGGGATAGTCAAATAACTGAAAATAGAATTTTCACAAAATATAAGCGATACTTGATAAATGGTTTTAGGTTCCATACTAAGGAGATTGAGCGAAAAAGGAAAACTCAAAATAGTGGGATTATTGTCACGGCAAAAACACGAAGCTTTGCAAGTGGTAGAGATGGAAATCCGGTCTTTGGAGATATTACATTTTATGGCGTGTTAACAGATATAATTGAGTTAGATTATTTGTTTGGGAAGAGGGTCGTGCTATTTAAAGGTGATTGGGTGTCACAATCAGGGAAAAGACAAGATAAAGATTGCACACTAGTCAACTTTACACGATTAATGAAAGATGCTGAGCCTTTTGTGTTGGCTTCTCAAGCAGAACAGGTAATGTATGTAGAAGACCTGAAACACAAAGATTGGCAAGTTGCTATCAAGATAAATCCGAGAGATTTTTATGATATGAATGCGGGGTCTTCTATGGACAATGTGGAGGCATACTTACAGAGTGTTGTATGCAATACACAAAGTGGTGATGGAGACAATAACTTTGATTTGGTTCGGACAGACATGCCTGCTGCAATTGTAGATGCACCACTTTCTCAGGTGTTAAGAGACAACGATGTTCATGATGATGAAGATGAGGAAGAATTAGATCTTATGTGACTGTTAAACTTATTGAACATTGCTAGTTATTTATATTTGAAAACAATTCTATAGTTTCATTTTGTTCTCTTTCTTTATCATTGTTTTTGTTAATTTAATTGATTGTTTGAAGAATGAATAATGCGTTTTTAATTTAACTATGTGATTTTCATATGTGGCTACAAAATATTTATGAGACTATATGTTACATTTAGTCACTACCAAGATAGCAACGCAATAAAGGTGAATTCACAAATTTTTTTTTGTTAATTTTCTTCAAGTATTTTGTTCATTTGCAAATAATTTATTTGGATCATTCTAAGTTTACAATTTGATTTGTCTATTTTACTTGAATCATACTAGGATTCATCTATAAAGCAAAAAGCCTATGGACCCATATCTTCAGTTTCGCTCAGGCAATGTTGGTGAGTTTAGTGAGTCAACTTCATCTGAGATACAGCCAAATTCTAGTCAACCCAATGATGATGCAGGTATGCAAGTTTAAACCTTATAAAAATGTTATTATTTCTTCATATATACTTTATTATTAGTATTATTATTTATTTATTTTTTATAACTAGATGGTGCTAGTGGACAAAAGAAAACTAGAGGTCCCACACAAATGCGTAATATTTGGGGTACTCGTGATGATGAGCGCCTAACAGTCAATTGGAACAAACTCGACCAACCTGATGGCAAATTGGCAACAAAGTTATCATCGTTCATTGGAACTATTGTGCGTGATGGGAAAAATGCACCACTCACTTACAAGAATTGGCATAAAGTCCCAGAACATTACAAAGATCACATATGGGCACTTGTACAGGTAAATGACACAATATTGTGCGAAAGATGATCACTCTCTCTCTCTCTCTCTCTCTCTCTCTCTTTTCAGTCAAAGTTTGATCTTCCAAGTCATGCTAGGAAGTGGGTTATGAAGTGCTCTGGTAAGAAGTTAAAAGACTGGAAGGCAAACATAAAGAAAAATTATTATAAGAACCACTTGAGTTTTGATGAACAAAAGCATTATAAAGATAGTAGAGTATATGCTAATTAGTGGGAACACCTTATTAAGTATTGGGCTATCGAAGAAGTAAAGGTATACTCGATCTTATCATTATATGTTATTTTACTTGCTGTAGTTTGGACACCATTAATTTATGCATTTGTAATTTTAGGCACAAAGTGATAAAAACAAAGCAAGTCGTGCAGAGCGAAAGTATAATCATACTACTGGAACAAAAAGTTTTCCACGTGTTCGAAAGGAGCAGGTTAATTCCTCTTTTCATGTTGTATATTTAATATGATAAGGTATACATAATGTGACATAATGATATAATTTATATTTTGGAAAATATTATTTTGTAGAAAAATAAGTTGGGACACTCTCCAACTCGTGCTCACATGTTTAAAGTATGTTATACAAAGGATACAGGAACTCCTGAGGCAACGAAAGCAATGATAGTATGTATCAAATAATTATGTCCATTTGAACTTGTAGATTAGTTAAAATTTCCACATTATAGTGTTGAGTTATTGAAATGTATATATTAAGTTATGTTTTTTGCAACCTTATAGGATGAAATGAATGAGAGGACAACCTTAAATGCAAATTTATCAAATAAGGGCCCAAATGATGCATTTGGACAAGTGATGGGTAAAGAAAAACATGGACGAGTTCGCATGTATGGATTAGGTGTCTCCCCGTCTAATTTATGGAGAGATACATCTAGTCATAAAGCAAACCACGACACAACAATGGATGTTATGGACGCTGAAAATTCGGAGCCAAGGTCCAAAGTTCCCAATGTTCAACATGCTCCAAATAACTTGACAAACACATCTAATCAGGTAATTTTTTTAATAGAATTTATAATTAATTAATGTTTTCCTACACTTATATATGCATACATATATCTATGTGTGTGTGTTTGTAACGTTAAATAGTTCAAATTTGGTTAGGCCACAACAACTTCTACTCCTCTCGACATGGCAGCTCGACATCAAGCATGGTCTTTGTCATCGATACAAGATACTTCTCTTACTCAGGTACCTACTAAAAGCTAATCATATAGATCACATTACTTCCAACTTTATTTTAGAATAGCATGCAACATTTATTTTACAATTAACCAAGGAATGAATATTGCGGACATAAATTTCATTATTTAAATCTAGACAAAATGTGCTACATAGTCTAAATCATGACATGACGAAGTTTGTGTTATTTTTTAAAAAAAAATTAATTTAATTTTCTTCTAAAGCTTTAACAAGACATCTTTCCATCATTTATTACCCGCATGAGCTATTTCTGACTCTCTCAAAATATTGCTTGAAAGTAATTAGTTGATTGTCATTTTGCACAATTACAATTGACTTATATCGTTGAGGTTAGGTGATCCTGATATTGATAATGGACATGGTTGTCATTGTCGTTGATTGGTGTTTTTGGTTGTTATTGATTTTTTAAGCTATTGTTTGATATGGTCGTTAGATATTTCATGGTTGACATTGTTAGATACTTCATGGTTGTCATTGTCGTTGATTTTTTAAGCCAGTTCTTCCCCTAAAATAAGAATGTATCTTTCCGGATAATTTAAGCCTTTAACGTGTTAAAAATAGAAATAAATAAATAAAATAATCTTAAAATCAATAAATAAAATAATATTAAATCGTGAAGTATCTAACAATTATACTCAACCATTACATTGGATCACTCAGGTTTTTGGTTGGGGAAGCATCAAATCCCTCAATTACATTGAATCACAATAGGGAGTAGCTAGAAAGCACCCACTAACCTAATCAAAATGCTTCTGGTTGTTAAAGATGCTAATTTTCACATCTAACCTATTCTAAATTGATGCAAATTCTGTTAGGCAACAGAGTCTACTCTTGCAACACAAAAGGTGAAGCTATAAAAAAAAAAAAAAAAAGAAGAAAAAAGATAAGAAACGATCAATTTATTCGTATATAATTTTTCAAACTAGGAAAACTGTTTCATAACTCTTTATATTCAGAATTGGCCTCCTGCTAATGCATGATAAAACCTATCTCTTGCAGTAGCTTGGCCTTCCATCAGTAGCTTCAGCAGCAGCTACTGCTAGATCATCATCAGACTTCACCTTCACTGGCAATCGTAGCAACTCATCTTTTCTATACATTTACATGGACATATCTGTCCTACAGTTGTTACCTGTTCAACTTTGATTTTTTCTTTTTTTAAACAGAAGTTACCATAGATGCTCTCAGCAAGTTGCTTGACTTTAAGACTTGTATATACAGATTCCAATAATTGACTTGAAGCTTTAACTCCCTCTTAATCAACTACCAACCGTCTCTGCTTTATTGTGAGAATTGTGGTAGCAATGATAACACACATACATGGATCTCTTTTAGCTGCCCCTGTTTGGCCATTGAAAAAGCATTTGCCAAACGCCAATTAACATAGTACTTTATTGTTTATTCATTTCGTATTATTCATCTATTTTTAGCAAATTACAGTGGCATATTGCAAAGTGGGTCTGCTATGTTCACACATAATGCTCTATCGGATTATATCCCAATTATCCTTTATCCTGATGTTTGTGGCACTTTCAAATGTCACTAAACTAAGAAAATGTTGTAGTGTCCATTCTAAAAAGGTTCTCATTGTTCTTGATGATGTGGATCATTTAAGCCAATTAAATACCTTGGCAGGAAATCGTGATTGGTTTGGTCCAGGAAGTAGAATCATCATAACAACTAGAGATGAGCAGTTGTTGAAGGGACTGAAAGTTGATGAAAGATGCATGGCTAAGGAATTCAATCATGAAGAGTCTCTGCAGCTTTTCAGTTTGCATGCCTTTGGCGAAGCCAATCCATTAGAAAATTATGCAGATCTTGCAAATGGTATAGTAAGTTATGCTGGAGGGCTTCCACTAGCTCTTGAAGTTTTGGGTTCTTATTTGTTTGAAAGACCATTGGTAGAATGGAATAGTGCATTTGATAAATTAAAACAAATTCCTTATGAGGAAATTCAGAAAAAACTTAAGATAAGTTTTGATGCACTATATGATGAAAAATTGAAGGATATCTTCCTTGATATTGCAAGCTTTTTCATTGGAATGGACAAAGATTGTGCCATAACTATATTGAATACTTGTGATCTCTGTGCTGAAGTTGGAATTAGTGTGTTGATTGATAGATGTTTATTGAAAATTAATGAACGAAATATGCTGACAATGCATGATCTACTTCGGGATATGGGAAGGGAAATCATTCGTCAAGAATCTCCCAAGGAGCTTGGAAAGCGCAGTAGATTGTGGTTTCATAAAGATATATGCGACGTACTTGAAAATAACAAGGTAAAGAGTCAAATCTTTCTTTCTAGTGTGTTAGTAAGCTTTTGGCTTGGAATGCTAACTTCAGTTATTTTTATAGTCTTTCTTCCTTCTAATTTTCATTTTTTTTTAAAAATATTGCTATATTAGGGAACAGAAGCAGTCGAAGGTGTGATCCTGACAGGACTACCCATGGTGAAGAAGATACAATGGAGTGATAAAGCATTCGCTAGGATGCATAATTTAAGACTGCTTCAAATCAATCATGTGCACCTCAGTGGTAATTTTGAACATCTATTGAAAGAGTTAAGATGGCTCTGTTGGCATAACTGTCCATTGGAGTATTTACCACACAATTTTCATCCAGAGAAACTCGTTATTTTAGACATGCAGTTCAGCAAAATTAGAACACTCTGGAAAGATGGCAAGGTACATGACATTCTTAGCAAATTCATTTTTGTTTGGGATTTGGATCAATTGAGTAGTGAATCATGAAGAAAGAAAAAAAATTATATAATTTCTTATATATATATATATATATATATTTTTTTGGTTTTAACAGCACTTCAAGAGCTTGAAAATTCTAAATCTCCGTAACTCCAAATGCCTAACAGAGAGCCCTATCTTCTGCGCACTATCGATGCTTGAGGAATTACTGCTTGAAGGTTGTACAGGTTTAATGGAGCTCTATGAATCAATTGGGCTTCTAGATAAACTTGTTCACTTGAATTTGAAAGATTGCATGAACCTCAGGTATCTTCCAGACAGTATCTGCAAGTTAAAGTCTGTTGAGCGTCTAAATCTCGCTGGTAGCGCAAAACTAAAGCTTCCAGAGCAATTGGGAGATATGGAAAGCTTAACAGAGCTTCTTGCAGATGGAATAGCCATTAAACAACTACCTTTCTCTATTGGGCAACTTAAGAACCTCAGGAGCTTATCGTTGAGGGGATGTCATAGGCTGTTCACACCTGTGTCTTGCCTTTCTTTCATTTTATCTTGGGTTTTTCGGAGAAAAAATATCTACTCCATAAGATTTTTACCATCCTCTATTTCAGGTTGGTGTTCCTTGACAAAGCTAGATCTCCGTGATTGTAATTTGTCTGAAGAAGATTTTCCAGTTAATTTTGGGAATTTATCCTCATTGCAAGCATTGGATTTAGATGGAAACAATTTTTGTATCCTACCAGATGGCCTCAGTCATCTATCCAAGCTAGAAATGCTTAACTTGAATAACTGCAAAAGGCTTAAGGTTATCTCAGGTCTTCCTCCTAATTTATTGAAAGTATATGCTGAATTTTGTGCATCGCTTGAAAAAATATACGGCCTATCAAAATTGAAGACTCTAGTAATGCATTTCGGTAAGGACCCAGTCGAGCATACTATCTCAAATGTTAATGATGATGGAATGGAAGAACCTCGCTATTTTGAAGGTGCACGAATCTGTCCCTTGCACAGTCCCGACAATTTACAACAATTTGAAAAGATTGAGGTCTGTTTCTCTCTCTCTCTCTCTGGTGCAACAATTTTGCAAAGAAAGTCTCTCTGAAAATTAAGTGAAATGCGTGAAACCAAATTTATTTTAGATGTGACCTATATATATATCAAAGGAGAAGGATTTCCTCCTGTCCAGTTTATGTGGACTGGAGGACACTCTTTAGGTATGTGAAATTCATCATGGGTTTATCACGGATTTTATTTTGGTAATTCGAAATCTTTTGTTTTATAGGACATTTGGTGCATTTTATTTAAAAAAAATTAAATTGATTTGATAATCATAATATATTTAATTTATCAAATTTATCATAAAAAATAGATAATAATTATATTTTTAAAATAAATAATCTATGTTTTTGGTGATACATAATAAATTAATTAAATAAGTTACGATTATCGGTTCAATTTAATTTTTGTGTGAATAGAATAAATGAAGTTTGTAATAAAAATGAATAATTCAGATTATTGAAATGAGAATTGTGATAGGTCCATGGGCTTAAACAATGGACTAGAGAGTAGTTGCTTCCAGGACGAAATATTAGAGGTGGAAAATAATATCTTACTGAATTTTTTATTCAAAATTTTTTACATGCGGCAGTAGCAATTTTAAAAGTAGGACACACTAGTTTTATCACTGTTTTTATTACCAGTTACAGGATAATATATTAGAAGATTATATATCACATGTTTATATCACCAACCTTGGAAAGATGTGATTTGTTTGCATTAATTTGTTAATAAGAGTTTAATTGACGGAAAACAAATAGTGTGCTGTAATTTACGAACAACAAATCAATATTGGTTCTGTAATTGTAAGTTTCAAGGCTCAGCCGTGTAAAACACATACTCTGTTTATAATCATTTTTAAATGAGGGAGTTAATCATAAATATTTGTATAGATGGTGACACAATAATAATGAATAACTTATCACATATAGCATTTTTTTATGACAATATATTATTTGTTTTCATTAATTACTTTATAATTATATCTAAACAAATGAGCCAATCATAAATATCATGTAGACAATAATACAAAATAATGATAAAAATATTTGTAATATATATAACATTTCTTTTTTCAAATATAAATAACTTTGAGGAGTCTTTTAATTTTAAATGATAAAATTAAAACTTGCAAAAAAATTTCAAACTAGATTATGGGAATACAGAATAATCAACTTGGCATAATTTTAATCATATTTGTCACATGAAAACAGTGAAACTTATCATAAAATATATAATTTCACTCTCAAATTATTCTATTTATATTTTATGTTATTGATTTTGTATGTGCAAATTTATTTTATTTTATTTTTCATCTAGAACTTCTAATTAGAAATTTATATGACAGGGTCTTCCTGACAGCCCTACCCTCTACCGTCGTGCCCTCTTCGTCTCCGTCTCGGGTCACTATTTCGGTACCCGTACCTTTAGCCATCCTAACGATTTTTACGGCTGTGATTCTTACAGCTATAAATATAAATCAACAGGGTCTTCCGTAGAAGTGTCAGTAGAGCCAATGAAATCCGGCCGCATTGTAGATTTCGAAGTGGGAGTTGTCTATTGTAGAGTTGGGGATGAAGAAAACTGCTTCACAGAATTAGATGATTATCCGTATCCATATATCATTGTTACTGATAAAATTAATCGCATTGATTTTACTTTTAGGCTGATCTTCTTTGCCTTCCCTGCAAGTTGCCGAGATTATTTTTGGAAAAGATATTTGTGTTGATAAATATTTTGGGCATCAAATTAAAGGTGGGCAATTCGAGGTTTGTATTATTATATCGCCACCTTTTAAAGTGAAGCAGTGTGGGGTGACTCCAATCCCCTTTTATAGTGGAGTAGCGTGGGGTGACTCTGGCTGTCGAGTACTCTGACTGTCGATCACAACAGATGATCATGAAAATTGTCACCAAAACATAATGGGGCAATCTCATATTGGATTTTTTATTTACCATTGTAATGGATTCCATAGTGAAGCCTAAAAATGATATTTTATTATATTTCATCTCATTTTAATAAATCATTAGTTTTTATGGAATTTATTCCATAGCGAAGCCTAGAATGATATTTTACCGTTTTTGCATTTCATTTTTTTTTCTATTAATATTTTTTGTTATTTTTAAAAATATTTAAAATAAATTTTTTATTTATTTTCTAGATGTACATAACTTAAATGCATTTAAAAAATAAAATATTTATGAAAAAATATTTTAAAAATTTAATAAATACATAAGAATATGAAAATATATTAAATTTATATATATATATATATATATATGTTGTATTTGATGAATTTTTAAAAAAAATTATAAATATTATACTTTTTAATTTATCTAAGTTAGGTGCGTCAAAAAAATTTTAAAAAAATTCTTAAAATGTTAAAAATTGACTAAAAGAAAAAAGTAAAAATTTGAAACATAAAAAATCTCAATTTTTTAAAAAGCGAGCTTAATTTTTTCAAATTCAAATAATATGATTGGTATTTGGGCCTGTTTTGGAAATTTGGCTGTTTTAGTTGATTTTTTTGACTATTTTACAAAATAGAATTTTTATTTTTATATTTATTTTTTTTGTTTAGAATGATTTATGAATTTTTTTTTGGTAGTTGAATAGATGGGTATGAGAGAAAAAATAATTGATTAGTATGTAGAATGTAATATTTTATTTTATTAATTTTTTATTAATTTTTTTTTTATCTTTATTGTGCAGGTAATTTTAGCAACCCTATCTGAAGTTGTTTTTATATTTGTATCGAAATTAATTCCTTAATTTAGGTTGCTGTGCTTATCATTTTAAACCCAAGTGACCCATATGAGCCTCAAATGGGCCTTAGACCTTCCATTTTAAGAGTCTAGTTGTTTTTTATTCTTGTCCGGGAATTGTTTTGGTGTGCACCTCATCATAAAACATAAAATTTTATCATAAAATTTTTATAATACCAAGTACAAATGAGTAATCTCGGCATAAACTAGCATAACAAAAAATATCATGATCAAATCACAAACTTTTATAAATATCAAACACAATTTTTTAGAGATTTTACGCATTTTATGGTTAATGTTATTAAATTTTATGATAAAGTTATACATTTTTGTGATAAGATACATATGGTATGAACCCCTTAGGGTGCACACCATAGGATTTCCCTTCTTGTCATACTATCTGTGGTGGGTAAAAATACTCCATTGGGCTGCTATGGCGGCGACGTGGTGGCTATGCCTTCACTTCAGACCTGAAAAACACTCAAAACAAAGTGAAGGGGGGTGGCTAGAGCAGCATGGGATCCCTCTGATGCCTAAGTCAGTGACCAAATAGACAAAGGTCCAAGATAATAAGAGTAGGGTTCAGGTTGAATTGATCGTGTACCTCTATTGTGTTGTTTACCTTCCCTTTTATAGTTTGCTCCCACTAGCCATTGTGGACTGGTAGGCTTCTCTCCACTCCTCACATCAACCCCCTTTCCTCAGGGGATTATGCTCCACTAGACGCAGATATCTAGGAGTTGGTTTGTAATAACCCTCACGCTATCCTAACCATACTTATATGCATTCATGTGATTCCGTCTTGTAAACTTGCATTTCGAGTCTTGTCCCTGTTCGTTTAAGTGTTACAACATGTTTTGTATCTTGCTTGGTGTGAGTTTAGCCGAGGTCATTTTCAGTTTAGAATTATCTTGGAACCACTTTGTTTGACCTCCACCCTCGCCCTGACATATTGGCCGTGATGTCATTATCTAGGCCGAGGTGTTCATCACCAAGGCCAAGGTGTGAATTATCTAGGCTGAGATGTTACCTTTGCACCAAAGTGACCTTGTCCCGGAGAGGTATAACCTAGACCGAGGTATGGCACATCTAGGCCAAGGTGTGGCACAGCTTAGTCAAGTGTTGTCCTTCCTAGCCGAGGTCATTATTCCCTACTTGCCGATGTCTTGTTATTAGCCGAGGTTCTTACTCGCCAGAGTGCCCATGCCGTCTTGCTTGTTGAACACACTTTGTCATAGTTTTGTCTTGTCACTCAGTCACCTTTTTGTGTAGCACCAACCAGCCGCTGCCACGTGTCTCTGTAGAAGGTTAAGTCAGCCAACAGACTTAGAAATGAATCATTTTTGCTATATGTCTTTGGTTGTGAGGAGAGAGAAGCTCTAGAAGAAGAAGAAGAAGAAGTTTAGAGTGAGAGAGTGGGTTTCGAGCTTGATTCCTAGAGATCAAACCATTAGATTCGCGTATTGAGGTTAGATTCTTGATCTACTCTTGTCATTCTTATTGATCATCTAGTTGCATTGCATGATCGAACCCATTTTGCATATCATGCATCGATTTAGAGTTGGTTTTAGAAACAGAAAATGGTATTCATGTGTTCTTGAAAGAAAGGTCTTGTTTGATCTGAAGGTTTGCATTTAAGTTTCATGTTTTGTGTTTGTTCTCACTAGATCCTTGAATATGGGTGCCCAGGTCCATGTTTTTGAACTCATAGCATGAAATCCCAGATTTTGTAATAACAAATCACGATCCTTGCATTTATCTCCCTCGTGTTCACGTTCTTCATGTTCATTATGTTCTTCAAGAGAGGGAAACCCAGATTTTTCCCGACTTCATTTCTTTGAACGTGGCCATCAAGGCAATACCTCGGCAAGGAGGTGTGGGACCTCGGCCTAGACCTGGTAGTCGCCCAGCATGTTTTCCCGAGATAAAGAACTGTGTTTGTTTTAATTTGACTTAGTCTTGAGGAATGTCGAGATCATCTGCATGCATGTGAAACTTGTTTTGAAAGTGCATTCAACCGACTTTGCCATGTGTTTGTAGGGTTTGGACTTGCCTTGACCTCGACGTCTCAAGAACTAAGTGAGTGGTATTTTTAATAAAGCTACGTTATAATGTTTTGATAAAAGTCTTGTTTTGCTTGTTTGGGAAAGTATTTGTAAGCATGAATGGTTATTCCTAATTGGAAAATATGTATATATATCTTGTTTCGATGACATTCTTGGAAGTCCGTACGTGCTAAGGGACTATAAGCACTTGTAGCACAAAGTTTGGAAGTCCGTACATGCTAAGGGACTATCAGCGTTTGTAGCACAAAGTTTGGAAGTCCGTACGTGCTAAGGGACTATAAGCATTGGTAGCACAAAGTTTGGAAGTCCGTGCATGCTAGGGGACTCTAAGCATTAGTAGCACAAGTCCTTAGTGTCCGGGGACTATAATGCAACGACACCATTGAATTGAGATATCTCCCTTGTCTTGTCTTGCCTTGTCTTGTCTTGTTTTCCATTGACGATTTACCGAGTGTGTTTTGTTTGCCGAGATGTCATTACTTGTATTATAATGATGTTAGTAAGCATCCTTTGAAACTTGACAGATTTGGAAGATGGACTTAGTTCATTCCTTGACTTGTACCAATTATGTTATGTATTGTTTGATAAAGATTTTGAATACCAGTCATGCAAACCCCTTTATTTCTTATACCATTCACTGAGTATCCAAGCTCACCATCTTTATATATATGTAGGTGATGAGCAGGAAGGCGGTGACGCCTAGGTGTGACTCGCAAGCTTGTTTTGGGTTTTTTTGTTATGTCGGTTCCACTTGTATATATGTCGGCAGTCTTGAAAACTATGCTTCTCGGCTTATAATGTCCGTAATTTACACATGTTGGCTAGAGAAGCTTTTTGATCAAGATGTAAAATGTATTTTGTATTTGTACTCGAGTTGTAATATTATGTAAAGTTGCATGCCTTTCCATGAGCTTATGCACTGCTCTTATGGACTACTTGTATTTTTTAAAAAATTTTGCTTCCGCACTTGTGAGCCCCATATATATTTATACTCTGTTTGTGTGTAGATTTTGAAAGTTGGCCTTCGGTAATCTCGGGTTACTGGCCATCACGGCACTAAACTACTAGGGGCGGTTTGGGGTCGTGACATGGTTGGGCTTGAAATACAAGCACGTGTGTTTGATTAAGTCTGCGCCTTCTTAAGGCGCGCTTCCAGCTGCCTTGATTCTGTCCTCAGACTCTCATGATCCATTTTGCTCCTGGACTCCTAGTCCTAAACCTTCGCACTAGGCTCAGTCCATCCAGGGCTGAAACTCTTTTCCTTTTGTAAAGTTGTCTTTGCACTGTATCATCCTGTCCAGGAATTCTAGTCCTGCTTATCATCCTGTCCATCCAGGGCTGAATCTCTCCTTTTGTAAAGTTGTCTTTGCACTGTATCATCCTGTCCAGGAATTCTAGTCCTTCCTATCATCCTATCCAAGAATTTTGGTCTTGCCCGGGTTGGATTTATTTTAGCCTCTCATAGTATCCATTTAGTTTGGAAGATATTTAAGACCCGTAATAAACCTTCACAATTTCACCCAAGTAGAATAATTGGTATCAACTTTTAATTTGTCACATATTTAATTATTTGAGACTTTACTTCCTTGTTATATCAATAGAAATATAATTAGAAGTGTTGAAATGGAGAAATATAGCAAAACTCTAATTTTAATCCACAGAGTGTTACTTTTCTACCGTTTTCATTTTGTAGAGGTATTTACCCTTTGAAGTTTGTCCATCAGGTTGTGCGCATGGTGCATGCGCACATCAGATGCGTTGATCTGCGTGTGGTGGAACACATGTTACAGTTTGCATGATATTGCATTTTGTTTTTTGCGATTAAAACTTTAAGATGTTATAGTTTGTACTTTATACGTCTATTCTTTTATAAAATTTAAAATTTTATTTAAAATACAGTTTAACTTTTGTTGTTTGAAAAATTAAATATATTTCTTTGTTAGAATTTTTTATTTAACAAAATTAATTAAAAAAATAAAATTCTTAACTAGTTCACTATACAATAATAAAATTGATTTTTTTTATCCATGTAAAGCATCATTGGGTTGTCCTTGACATCCTATGCTAAAAGCTAAAAGCAATCAATAAAAACAAACTCTTAACAAATAAACAACTAAATTTTTTTTCTTGGTAATTAAAAGAGAAAATACTTGAGGCTTAGTATCTCTAATACAGAAGGTACAGATGACTACTGTCTACCTGCTCTACAATATCCTTCAAAGAAAGGCCAGAACTCTTGAGCTTATTAGTGGGTCTGAAGTCCTTATGTATGTCAGGATCATTCGGCATGGTAGTTGAGTATTGCATCTCATGGTGGTTAAAGGATCCAGCTTCCTACCAACAATTAAAGAAAAAATATTAGCAAGTATCATTTATATGGCCATCAAAAATCATTTGCTCTAAAGATAAAACCACACACTTGTGGCTTAAAAATTGAAGAAAACCCTTTTTTTGGTCTTTTGAGTGGAGTTTAACAATGCAAGCATTTTTGTTTACAATTTTATGATTAAGGATCCGAGAAATCTAGAATCAGATGGCTATGAACATATCAAGATCCTAAGTAGTTTCTTTGACTGTAAGTCCTTTGAAAAGTAAGAGAAACATGAATAAAAAATAAACAGTTCAAACCTATGAAGCATGGACACTCCAAAATCGGTGATGTGGCAGTGTCCGACACACGGACACACCGGGGACACGTACAGGACATGCTAGATGGCATGTCCCTTTAATTTAATGAATTTTTTGTAAGGGACACAGCAGGGACATGGGTGTCCATATCCGGACACGGCATGGGACACAGCGGGACTCATTTTTAATTTTGTTATATTTATTTGGGGTCAAAGTGTTATATTTAAAAAGAAGAAGAAAAAAAAAAAAAAAAAACAACAACAACAACAACAATAACAATAACAACAATGTAATGCCCTAGCATCGACTCTATCACCTCTATCTAGTCGAGAGTGTGTGAAAGGGAGAACCAGTCGACCACCTCAATCCAGTCGATCGAAGACCTCCATCAGTCGATCTCCATCCAGTCATCTTCCATCCAGACGACTTCGAAGGTAAGCCTCCCTTTCTCTCTCTCTCTCTCTCTCTCGCTCTCCTTCTAGTAATCCCATCTGTTTTTTTTTATTTTTTTATACGTTTATATATATATATATATATGTGTCTGTGTGTGGGTAAGACTGTTTCTATTTTTTTGTAATTATATGTTTATATATGTATATATATTTCTAAAACTGTATTTTAAAAAAAATTGTAGGTTTATATATATACACAATATGTAAAACTTTCTCTCTCTCTCTCTCTCTCTCTCTTTCTCTCCTTTTTTCCCCCTTCTAATGTTAATGTTGATTTATAATGGTTATTATTTATAGGAAAAATGTCTAGTTCAAATTCTACCAATAACACACCATCTGCGTTTGATGCTGAAGATGATAAGCCACTGTGGAAATATGTGACTAGATTAGAAAAATCTGGTGCAAGAGGGGGGAACTATACTTTTCAATGTATCTTTTGTCGGGCTACACATAAAGGTTCATACATTGGGGTAAAATCCCATTTGATGCAAATTAAAAATCAAGGAATAGAAGTGTGTCCAAAAGTAACAAGTACGGATACAGTTGAATTTGAGAGAGAGATTGCAGAAGCAGAGTTGAAATTGAAAAACCCTAGGTTGAAGAATGTCCCATTGCCTCCTCCTAGTTCAAGTGCATCATTAGGTTTATGTTTCAATGAACTAGAGGAAATCTATGGATCAAAAAGGAAGAGGTCAACTGCTATGGGGAGTGAAAGTAGTAACCTTATTAGGAAAGCATTTAACATTGGGGCTCGAGAACGATTAAATGGTGAGATAGCTAGAATATTTTATTCAGCAGGTTTGCCATTTCATTTGGCAAGAAATCCTTACTATGTTAGTGCATTTACTTTTGCTGCAAGTAACAACATACAAGAATATGTACCGCTGGGGTATAACATGTTGAGAACTACGTTGCTTCAAAAAGAATTAATAAACATTGATAGGTTGTTAGACTCGATTCGAGGCACGGAGATAGAAGGGTGTGAGTATAGTCAGCGATGGATGGAGTGATTCCCAACGAAGGCCATTAATAAATTTTATGGCTGTTACAGGAGGTGGGCCTATGTTTCTTAAAGCGGTTGATTGTTCAGGGAAACAAAGGACAAGTATTTTATTTCCAACTTGATAAAAGAAGTAATCATGGTAATGCCCCAAATTGCAAGGCGGCGGGGCACCTAATTAAAGTGCAATTTCCTCAAATCGTAATAATGATGGAATAGAAGAACCTCACTATTTTGAAGGTGCACGAATTTGTCCCTTGCACAGTCCCAACAATTTACAACAATTTGAAAAGATTGAGGTCTGTCTCTCCCTCTCTCTCTCTCTGGTGCAACAATTTTGCAAAAAAAAATCTCTCTAAAAATTAAGTGAAATGTGTGAAACCAAATTTATTTTAGATGTGACCTATATATATCAAAGGAGAAGGATTTCCTTCTGTCCAGTTTATGTGGACTGGAGGACACTCTTTAGGTATGTGAAATTCGTCATGGGTCCATCACAAATTTTATTTTGGTGATTCGAAATGTTTTGTTTTATAGGACATTTTGTGTATTTTATTTAAAAAAAATTAAATCGATCTAATAATTATAATATATTTAATTTATCAAATTTATCATAAAAAATAGATAATAATTATATTTTTAAAATAAATAATCTATTTTTTTAGTGACACATAAAAAATTAATTAAATAAGTTACGATTATCGGTTCGATTTAATTTTTGTGTGAATATAATAAATGAAGTTCTTAATAAAATGAATAATTCAGATTATTGAAATGGAAACTGTGGTAGGCCCATGGGCTTAAACAATGGACTAGAGAGAGGTTGCCTCCAATTCAAAATATTAGAGATGGAAAATAATATCTTACTGAATTTTTTATTCAAAATTTTTACATGTGGCAGTAACAATTTAAAATATAGGATTCACTAGTTTTTTCACTGTTTTTATTACTAGCTACATGATAATATATTAGAGGATTATATATCACATGTTTATATCATCTTTTTATATCACCAACCTACTTGGAAAGATATGATTTGTTTGCATTAATTTGTCAATAAGAGTTTAATTGACGGAAAACAAATAGTGTGCTGTAATTTATGAACAACAAATCGATATTGGTTCTGTAATTGTAAGTTTCAGGGCTCAGCCGTGTAAAACACATATTCTGTTTATAATCATTTTTAAATAAGGGAATTAATCATAAATATTTATATAGATGGTGACACAATAATAATAAATAGGGTTTTTTTTAAGGTCCCTCATATTAAGATTTTATAGCATAAAGGACATCTAATATTTTCATAATGTCTAAGGTCCCTCAAGTTGATCCAGAGAAAATTTGAAAATGTCTCTAACTTTACCAGCCTTCCCACAAAATTATCTCTCTAGAGAAATTTTAAATTTCTCTGGCCTCGCTGCCTTTCACGCACTCTTCAGAGAAATTTCAAATTTCTCTGCCTTCCATATACTTCCCACTCTCTAGACAAATTTCTCTGCATTTTCACAACATTACCTCTTTAGAGAAATTTTGAAATTTCTCTGGATCGACCCAGAGAAATTTTAGTTCAAACCCAGAGAATTTCTCTGGGTCGCTCACCACTCCAACCTTCAACTTTCCTTTATTTCACCACCCTCTCTCTCTATATATATATATATGTATATTGTTTCTCTCTCCTTAAATACCAAGAAGAAGAAGAAGAAGAAAAGAGAAATATTAAATGACACCATCATTAATATATATATACACACACATAAATTCAGAGTATTTAGATTGTCAAACTAATATTTTTGAAGCTAGTATCTAAATTTAACAGTGAGAATAAATGTAATCAACAATCACAGCTGTACTACTCGTTGAAATACCTTCCCAGCAATGTTTTCTTGACTTTGGAAGAGAGGAATCATGACTGTTTGACCATTTTCCTTCTTCATTGGAACCTATGCAGACAACGTTCACCTCCATTTCGTAATGGCAAGCCATTGGAAAGAAGGGATAGGTGATTGATCCGGATAATTTGTTGAATTACGGGCTGACGATTGCGTCCAAGGGGCAAGAAGGTTTGTTAAAAGAGTTTGATGAAGTTTTGGAGCATTACAGTAGCTTTTCGGTACATAAGGTGTCAGAGAAGGGGAAGAAATCGGAGGTGTTGGATGTAACGGTTGCGAAGGAGATTGCACCGGAGGATTTGGAGTCGGAGAAGAAGAAGGAGCTGATGAAGGAGCAGTGTGCTGCGTACTGGACCACGTTGGCGCCGAATGTGAAGGATTATAGTGGGACTGCGGCAAAGCTGATGATTGAAATGGGGCAATGAGGTTTTGAGGAAGAGGATCAAACCCAGTCAAATTTTTCTGATATATGTTTAGGGACTTTAGACATCAAAAAATAATTTTGTGGATCTCTTCCATTACGAAAAGTGAGAGAGGGACCCTAGACTAATTTTCCATAATAAATAACTGATCATATATGGCATCTCTATGATAATATATTATTTGTTTTCATTAATTTATTTATAATTATCTCTAAACCAATGAGCCGATCATAAATATCCATGTAGACCATAATAAAAAATATGTTTATAATCATTTTTAAATAAGGGAATTAATCATAAATATTTATACAGATGGTGACACAATAATAATAAATAATTGATCATATATAGCATTTTTCTATGACAATATATTATTTGTTTTCTTTAATTTCTTTATAATTATCTCTAAACCAATGAGCCAATCATAAATATCCATGTAGATCATAATACAAAATAATGATAAAAATATTTGTGATATATTTAGCATTTCTTTTTTCAAATATAAATAACTTTGATGAGTCTTGTAATTCTAGATGATAAAATTAAAACTTGTCACTATTTTGACGTAAAAAAATTTCAAACTAGATTATGGGGATATAGAATAATCAACTTGGCATAATTTTAATCATACATATCACATGAAAACAGTGAAACTTATCATAAAATATATAATTTCACTTTCAAATTATTCTATCTATATTTTATGTTATTGATTTTGTATTTGCAAATTTATTTTATTTTATTTTTTATTTTTATCTAGAACTACTAATTAGAAATTTATATGACAGGTTCTTCCTGACGGTCGTACCCTCTACCATCGTGCCCTCTTCGTCTTGGGTAACTATTTCGGTACCCGTAGCTTCAGCCATCCTAGCGATTGTTACGGCTGTGATTCTTACAGCTATAAATCAACGGCGAGTTGAGAACCCATGTAAGTTTTGAATATTTTAGGTATCAAATTAAAGGTGGGCAATTCAAGATTTCTATCCTTATATCGTCACCTTTTAAAGTGAAGCGGTGTGTGGTGACTCCGGTGAGGGGCCGATTGGTCACCTTTTAAAGTGAAGCAGAGTGGGATGACTCTTGACTGTCGATCACAACTGTGAAAATTGTCACCAAAACATAATGGATCCATCTCAGATTGGATTTTTCATTTACCATTGTAATGGATTCCATAGCGAAGCTTAGAATGATGTTTTATTCTATTTCATCTCATTTTAATAAATCATTAGTCTTTATGAAATTTATTCCATAGTGAAGCCTAGAATGATATTTTACCTTTTTTGCATTTCATTTTTTTCTATTTATATTTTTAGTTATTTTTTAAAATATTTTAAGTAAATATTTTATTTATTTTTTAGATGTAAATAACTTAGATGCATTTAAAAAATAAAATATTTATGAAAAATATTTTAAAAATTTAATAAATACATAAGAATATGAAAATATATTATATTTATATATGTATATATATATTTTGTATTTGATGAATTTTAAAAAAAATTATAAATATTATACTTTTAAATTTATCTAAGTTAGGTATATCTAAAAAATAAAAATAAAAAATTCTTAAAATATTAAAAATTGATTAAAAAAATAAAATAAATTGAAAAATAAAAAAACTCAATTTTTTAAAAAGTGATCTTAATTTTTTGAAATTCAAATAATATGATTGATACTTGGGCCTGTTTTGGAAATTTGGCCATTTTAATTGATTTTTTTTACTATTTTATAAAATAGATTTTTTTTTTTGTTTAGAATAATTTATGATTTTTTTTTTGTTTTTGTTTTTTTTTTTGTTTTGTTTTGTAGTTGATTAGATAGGTATGAGAGAAAAAATAATTAATTAGTATATGTAGAGTGTAATATTTTATTTTATTATTATTTTAATTTTTTTTTGCCTTTATTGTGCAGGTAATTTTAGCAACCCTGTCCGAAGTTGTTTTATATTTGTATCAAAATTAATTCCTTAATTTAGGTTGCCATGTTTATGATTTTAAGCCCAAGTGACCCATATGAGTCTCAAATGGGCCCTAGACGTGCCTTTTTTTTTTTTTCGGGCCTTTTTTTTTTTTTTTTTGAGAGGATTAGACCTGCCATTTTAAGAGTCAGCTGTTTTTTATTCTTGTCAGGGAAATGTTATGGTGTGCACCTTATCATAAAATATATAATTTTATCATAAAATTTTATAATATTAATTACAAATGAGTAATTTCAACATAAACTAGCATAACAAAAAATGTCATAATCAAGTCACAAATTTTTATAACATCAAAAACAAAATTTTAGACATTTTATGGTAAATGTTATTAAATTTTATGATAAAATTATACATTTTTGTGATAAGATACATATGGTATGCACCCCTTAGGGTGCATACCATAGGATTTCCCTTCTTGTCATAGTATTTGTGGTGGGTAAAAATACTCCGTTGGGCTGCTGCGGCGGCGACGTGGTGGCTATGCCTTCACTTCAGACTTGAAAAACACTCAAAGCAAAGTGAAGGGGGTGGCTGGAGCAACCTGGGATCCCTTCAATGCCTAAGTCAGTGACCAAATAGACAAAGGTGCAAGATGATAAGAGAAGGGTTCAAGTTGAAGTGATCGTGTACCTCTATTGTGTTGATTACCTTCCCTTTTATAGTTTGCTCCCACTAGTCATTGTAGACTGTTAGGCTTCCTTCCACTCCTCACATCAACCCCTTTTGCTTAGGGATTATGCTCCACCAGACGCGCATTTCTAGGAGTTGGTTGGGCTTGAAATATAGGCACGTGTGTTTGATTAAGTTTGCGCCTTCTTAAGGTGCGCTTCCAGCTGCCTTGATTTTGTCCTCAGACTCTCATGATCCATCTTGCTCCTAGACCCTCGCAGTAGACTCAGTCCATCTAGGGCTGAATCTCTTTCTCTTGAAAAGTTGTTTTTGCACTGTATCATCCTGTCCAAGAATTCTGGTACTGCCTAGGCTGGATTTATTTTTAGCCTCTCATAGTATCCATTTAGTTTGGAAGACATTTAAGACCCGTAATAAACCTTCACAATTTCACCCCAGTAGAATAATAAGGGTTAACTTTTAATTTGTCACATATTTAATTATTTGAGACTTTACTTCCTTATTATATCATTAGAAATATAATTAAAGGTGTTGAAATGGAGAAATATAATTTGTCCATCAGGTTGTGCGCAAGGTGTGTGCGCACATCAGATTTGTTGATCTACGCGTGGTGGAACACATGTTACAGTTTGCATAATATTGCATTTTGTTTTTTGCAATTAAAACTTTAAGATGATATAATTTTTACTTTATACACCTATTCTTTTATAAAATTTAGAATAAATTATAAATACATTTTTAAAAATTTGTTTAAAATACAAATTATCTTTTATAGTTTGAAAAATTACATATATTTCTTTGTTAGAATTTTTTATTTAAAAAAATTAATTAAAAAAAATAAAATTCTTAACTAGTTCACTATACAATAATAAAATTGGTTTTTTTTATCCAACTCCCTCACTAAGGTTCTTAATAGCATAAGGACACAAAACAGAAATTGAGCAAGGTTGTGCCATCTAGTCCAGAGTTCTGTTCACACAAAAGAGTCAGGGGATTGAGGAATCCACAAGTTCGGATTGATTTTCAACCTTCTATATGTTCTCGAACAAGTATGTAATCGTATCCAAGTGTCTTAATAGGTAGGTTTAGATGCCAGTCAGAATTGGGTGGGCTGCGATACTCAAGATGAGAGACTTGGTCAGATATCAATTATAGAAAACAACAAAATTACTTGTTTGGCTTGTTTAGTTTGTTTGGTTTTTAAGTTCTCTTTTCTTTTCTTCTCAGGGCGCTGTCCTTCCCAATCAAAAGCTATTGGCTTTGTTCACCTCAGGTTGATACATGCCCTTGCTTCTGCTTTAGTTTAGCATTCCTTTTTCGCTAGAGCTTCATGGGCATTGCCCAATTACCCAATCAGATGTTTAGATGTGAGTTATACACCGCAAGGAGCCAACCGGGCTAATGGAACAAGTTAGTAAAGTAGCTAAACTCTTCCAAGGGAGATTCTAACGGAATTATAGAAAAAAATGATATAAATTTTCTAACTACTCTCCTATAAAATAATAAAATTATAAAAATTGTTAATTGAAATATGTATATAATATTATTAAAAACTGTTAATTGACTTAATGGATATGGCATTTTGTTTGTCAAAATAGACCATCTATTTTCTTTGAGACAAAAAATAAATAAATTGCACTTATCAAGTTAACCTAATTTTGTTCATGAATGCATGAAAATCTCATAAAATAAATAGTTTGAATCATTGAAAAATAAACCCCTTAATAAACCCAACATGTTCACAACACTCTCTAATCTCTAATTTAAATTTAGATTGGAGAGAGAAGAAGTAACACGTTTTCTTTCACTTTCCCATAGCTCATTAATCCATATGTTAAGACTTTGTTTAAATCATAAATTGGAGTCTAGATTTAACTTAAAAATTAATTCAAACACTACTGAAAGGTGACTTATGGATTAATCAATCCGATATACAGTCTACCAAATAGGATCGACATTTAAAAAAAAAAAAAAATAATGTCAAATGTCTATATCTATATCTATATCTATATCGGTGGCTTAGCTATATAGCACACGTTAACGCCTAGTCTAAATTCATCAATATTTGAAGAAAAAGATTGTTAGGAGAGAAGAGTCCCAACCGTCATTCAATCCGATAATTATTTCTTGGAGAACACGAATAAACTTATGACAAACACATGAATAAAGGTCACATGTTCATTTCTGTAAGTCTCTCTCCTCCATTATCTTCTTCCCCAAGAAGAAAAAGTACACTCCAAGTAAAAGCATAACCGACCACTCATCCCATTTTGCCTATAAATATTTGAGCTCTCAGCATTGTCACTCCTTACACAATATTCATTCACCATGCAATCTTCGAGATTTAGACAAACACTTGAACAACAAAGATGTCTGGGTGCAGCAAACATCATCATCCATTCTGTCATGGTGTTCACAACTTAGGACACCATAGCCCCAATGGCCATCACGGATGTGCAGCTTGCCACGGTGGAGGGCATCACAGTCATGACTGGGGCCATCCAGGAAATAAGGGTTTTGACGACGTTTATTTAACGGCGTTTTATGAAACGTCAGAATTTATAATATTTAACGGCGTTTTTTAAACGTTGTTTTTTTAAATATTAAAACGGCACCGTTTTAAATAAATATTTGAAGGCGTTTAGAAGCGCCTTTAAATGTCCTCGCTGTTATATAGGCGAGCTGGTGAATATCCTAGTCACTTATCTATTCATCGTTCAGTCTCTCTCTCTCTCTCTCTCTCTCTCTCTCTAAATAGATGCCCTAATCTCTTCCAGCAGAATGCCCTAATCTCTTACTCACTCATCTGTTTATCGATTGATCTCTTGCTGATTCATCTTAGAATGATTCAATCTCAATGGATCGATTTCTATTTTGATTTCGAAGTTCTGTCTCTTGATTTCGATTTCAAAATTTATGTTTCGGTGATTCTCTCTTTCAATTTCGAAGCCTATTTTGAATCTGAGTATAAAGCCTTTGTAAGCCCTTATTTTGAATCCTCACACCTTCTCTGATTTCGATTTCATCTGAATCTCTGATTTCGATTTCGATTTCGAAGCTCCACCGACACCACCATCACTACTTTTTAATTTCTCACTAACATTACACTGCATGTTGCAGCATGTGATTTATATCCTTTGATTCGCCCCCAATCCAAGATTGATCCAGATGAGGTTAGGGCCGTGCTAAACAGGTTGTGCAAGATCAGCGCCGTCTGAAGGTTGGTCTTCCTCTCTTGGACACTTAAAATGAAATAGATCAGGATAACTATGGATGACAAACTTTTAGTCTACAGGATGCATGTATAAATAAATATGTATGGATGGATGGATGTATGTATATAAATATTATATATGTATAAATATTATATATAAATATATATTATATAATATATATAAATATATAGTTCAGATTTACTAACCACAAAATATATTACTAATGCTACCTAATTTGTTTCCACTCAAATAAAAAAAAAAAAAAAAAAAATCCTTAGTGTACTTTTTCTAAACATAACACTTCAATCAATGTAATACATAAAAACTCCTTAGTATACTTTTTCCTAACGTAACACTCTAATGTAACATACTAAAAAGCTCACTAGTGTACTTTTCTCAAACGTAACAACGTAATATTAAACATAAAAAAAAACTTCTTAATGTATTTTTTTTCCAAATGTAACACTCCAATCAATGCAACACACAAAAACTCTTTAGTATACTTTTTTCAAACATATAACACCAGAAAATCACACTAATAGAAATGTAGATTTTCACACTTGACAACTAACACTTCAGCCAACAATTCCTTCAAAAAAAAAAAAAAAAAAAATTCCTTTCTTTTTTTTGTTGTCGAAAGCTACTTTGACAACTATGGAATCATTCGAGATGTAATGCAAAATCATCTCTTGCAAATACTAGCACTTTTTGCAATGGAGACACCTGTCAGCTTGGATACAGAGGACATTAGGAATGAAAAGGTAGACATTCTCTATATACATATGAGATTGCAATATGTGTGTTGGTTATTATTAATTTTTTTCCCCAGCTATGCCAGGTTTCAATTGCTTTTAATAGTTGTCCAAAAACTCATCTGCAAATATGGTAAATAATGACAAATCAATTTCTCCACCCATGCCTCCCCAACCCCTATCTTAGATGCACTTTTTGGATGTTTTGATTCCATGGTATTTATCAAAATTGGTAACTCTGGGGAAGTAAGGTGAACTAGTTGGTGGTTTCATTGAAGGGTTTGAAGTGCATATGTCACCCGGTTCTACTTGAAAAGAACAAAATTTGATGAGGAACTTGAAATGAACACTTGTATTAGTATCATAGGTTTGGTCGAAGTAGTTATGAAATTATGGGGATTGGACACATAGCCATGACATTTTGTATAATGATAATCTACTACTTCTCATACATTTTATGAATGGGGATAAATCCTGACCTTTTTTTTTCCCCCTGACTAGATCTAGTATGTATACATGTTATTCAAACACCAACCTTTATGCATGCTAGATGTATTTTTTGCACTAGATTTATATTTTTTCATTTTTTAGGATTTGTTATATATTGTGGTGTTGTTACTTATCCTAAAAAATATCTAAAAAATATATCTAGTGGTGTTGTTTTTAAAGGTTTTAACCTTCTTCATCTATTGATAGGTTTTTGCTGTAAAAACCGTCCTTCAGAAGCCAATAAGTTTAATTCAAGGTCCACCTGGCATAGGGAAAACTATGACTTCTGCAGCAATTGTATATCATATGGCCAAACAAGGCCAGCGCCAGGTAAATTCATTAGCATGTATTTCAATTACTAAGATCTTGTATTTGATTACATGCCTTTTGATGATTTGTTGCTATCAGGTTTTGGTTTGTGCTCCAAGTAATGTGGCTGTTGACTAGCTAGTTAAAAAGATCAGTGCAACAGGATTGAAGGTATGCATTGTTTGGTTGATCATAAAACCATATCTACAGCAATACTAGCTTTGGTTGTTTTATTTTATCATGGTACTTAAATTGTTTGATGCATTTATCTAGTTTGTGTCAGGCATGTGTGCATAATTTGTTTGGCCACTTGCTGAAGTCAATGCTGCAAATGTGCTGAACTGAGCCAAGTACCTGGCTATTTGGGCTCTGCTTTGGCTTGGAGAAAAAGAGATTCTAAATTTTTTAGAATTTTTCCAAATAAGGGAAAGAATAAGAAAGACCACCCAAAATATTGATTTGATGGCATTTCTTTTGTTGACAACAACTTGCTGTTCCTCAGTGTGTTTGGTTGAGAGTTTTCCTTGTTAAATTTTTTTTTATTGCCTTTTGCTTCACCCCCTGAAAAAGAGAGGGTTGTATTCCAAGGGTTTTTAATGCTTTCCTTCTACAAGTATTTTTACTTGAGCCATTGATCTTTTTGGCTTTATTTGTGTGGCATAACTTTTGGTCTATTGTTCAGACAATCATCTTCCCAATCAACATTAGTCTATTCATGTATTTTTTTAACATGATAACAAATGTTGATTTTCCGTTTGAGATATTTGATTTTTCGTTTTTCATTGATGTGAGATTTTTAATTTTTTTTAATTAAACCAGGTTGTTAGGCTCTGTGCAAAATCAAGGGAAGCTGTAAGTTCTCCTGTGGAGCATTTAACTCTTCACTATCAGGTTTGTTTACTTGTTAATTGATCAAATATTTTTACTCCCATTTAACAGATTTCCTTCTTTAAATTGCCACCAGCCCATAGAACATTTTTCTCTCTAACTTGTCTCTTTTCTCACTATCAGGTTTCTTTAAAATTCCAGTTTGCAGTATTATTTTTCAGTTGAGTGGTTTTCAACTTTTCGAAAAACATGCCAAGTCATCCTTTCCAATGTTGTTCTGTATTGTGTTTTAGCTGAATTATGCTTTGGTTGCTAATTTGTATATATCTTGTTGTTTTCTTCTTTCAAATTTGTCATGACAACCATTGCATGGGACTTTGTGTATGTTTTTTTGTCTGTGTGGATAATAAAATTATTATTTAACGCATCAGAAATTCTGCCTTGCAACTAACCCGACTAAAGTGTTTTTTTATGTTTATGGGTGGGTGCATATTTAAACTTGGAATGATATCTGTTGTGACCTGGATTTGCGTTAATGGAGCTTTCCTTTTACATATACAGGAGAATTATCCAGCAGTGATGAGAAGAAATATAAAGCTCCGAAGCGAGCAACAAAGAGGGAGATATCTCAGAGTGCTGATGTCATTTGTTGCACATGTGTTGGTGCTGGCGATCCTCGATTGGCTAATTTTAGATTTCGCCAGGTTGGTTTGTGAACATTTTACTGTCATAAAGGATAGCCAATCTTTTCTGCTTTGGTTTACATGATTGCTTTCAATTTGTTTATAGGTCCTTATTAATGAATCTACTCAAGCAACTGAGCCCGAGTGTCTTATTCCCTTGGTTCTTGGCGTGAAGCAGGTAAACAAGTCTTTATATTCTACTTTCTAGTCTATTGTTATCTGCTTCTTTTTCTGATAATAGATTTCTCTATTAGGTTGTTCTCGTTGGTGACCATTGGATAATAGATGTCTCGCTGATTCACATAAATATGAAACCACACCCATATAAAAAGTTTAATAAAAAATTTAATAAACTATTTAGTATCCTAGCATGACTCATTAATTTTTACTCCCATTTAACAGATTTCCTTCTTTAAAATGCCACCAGCCCATAGAACATTTTTCTCTCTAACTTGTCTCTTTTCTCTACTCAACATATAAGTAATTGATGACAATGAAAATGAAAACCCACTAAGAGAAGAGAGAACAAAGAAAATTCAATGCACAAACTTGAGAGTCCATAGATCAACAACACACGTCAATGGCAGAGCAACTCAACGTTGATCGCATGGCTTGGATGCGAGTGTCAATCGATTCTTGTTCTTGCTGATGGAACAAGATCACACACAGACAAATCAAGGAGTAAAAAAAAAGTCAGCCATGGAAGCTAAAGAAATTTAGGAGACTTTTCCATTCTCTGAGTTTCGGGTAACATTTCTCATCATTGAGTTTAATTCTTAAGATGATTTACTTTTTGTGATTCTCTATCTTAAGTTCTGAATCTATGATTTGCAGTGGAATTTATCTAATTTGGTCATTATGCTAAGGAATAGATATAGAGCAGTGATGACCAAGCAAGCTCTAATGGCGGACCAGAGCTCTCTAGCTTCTCTCTCCCCAAATCACACCATACCCATTTATTCTTTCTTTGGTTCTCCAAGGTTTTTCAATGGGTTTCAAGCAATGGGTCACTCTGAAACTGAAACAATGAGTCCTATTCCTAGTTCAATTCATGACATCAAACCATTCGCCCGTTGGCAACCAATTCCCCAACAATTTCTCAGGAAACAAACACTCTTGGGAAAAATTAAACCTGAAAGGCATTGGTCTTTCATAGTACTTGTATGTATAATTAGTTTGAATTGCATCTTTTATGCCGATCTGTTTTGTAATATCTTTCAACTTACCACTAGGCACTAGTTTAATTTTATTTCATCTTGGAATTGAAATATTTTTGCATATTGAGAAGCATGAATTGATCTAGTATTATGTTTACCTAAATTTAGTCAATATATTGAATATTTTTCATCTTTATTACAGGTATTTTTTTTAGTTAAATCTCACAAAGTTAGCACAAATTTTTTTTTTATAAAAAAAATGAAGCTATAACGGCGTTTTTAAACGCCGCTATAGAATAGTGCCAATGGTTATAATTTTAAAATAGAAAAAGATCTATCACGATGTTTTTAAAACGTCGCTAAATGTGGTGTGACGTCACTGTAGTGTTATGCAGCACATTTGGCGGGGTTTTTAAAAATGCCGCCTATACTAATATAGCGGCGCTTTTAAAGCGTCGTAAAGCTATAGGGACGGCCGCATCTTCAACGTTTGGTACTAAACGTCACAAAAACAATTAGCGGCGTTTTTTAAACACCATTAAAAGCCTAATTTCTAGCAGTGTTACTAACACCACGGTCATGGATGGGGACATCATATTCATCAACATAGTCACGGTGATCACGGACATGGAGGCCACGATGGTTGTCACCACGGAGGACGTCATGGTCATGGTGGGAGACGTCATGGTCGCGGTTATGGCAGTCCTGGCAAATGGCACCATTGCCATGCACTGCAGGAAATTCAGTTTTTAGCGGCGTTTAAAAAATGCCTCTATAGGTGTCCAAAACGCCGTTAATTCTTTTTGTGACGCTTAGAATGAAACGTCGAAGATGCAGTCGTCGCTATAACATTGGGGCGCTTTAAAAACGTCGTTAAATGGTTATAGGGGGCGTTTTAAAAAACGCCGCTAAATGTGGTACATAACGTCATCACAATTTTTAGCGACGTTTCAAAAACGTCGTCATAGCTTTTTTGAATTTTAAAAATATAACCGTTGACTGTATAGTGGCATTTTCAAAAATGCCATTATATCTTTATTTTTTTAATTTACTTTTTTGAAATTGTGCTAATTCTATGTGGTTGAACCAAAAATATACCTCTAATAAAATTGAAAAATAACACTAATATAAATCAATAATTCCCATTCCCATTCAAATGAACATTTGTCAAAAGATAAACCAATTATATGAAAAGCTGTCAAGTAGCAAATACGGCATTAATTCACTTTCCCATTCAATTTAATATACAATTACCATTAACTACAAAATAACATATCCACAAATCATGTTTTAACATTCGCCAAAAAATAACAGGAAAAGCATCAAGACAAACCCCATGAGTTTTGATTTAATTTAATGTCTTGTCCTTGTTACTAAATTCACTAAACCCAGTTGATATAGCATAGAATCTGTAATCTTCACTGATCTGGATGCCTGCATCAAAACATGGAAGCCAAATTAGGCAAAGTGCATAAATCAATAATAGCAGAAGTGTTACAGCTATAAAACACAAGATCTACATTACAACTCACCATCTGTTGAAGAAGGTTTTGTATCTGGAAGAACAATTTAAATAAATCAGTCATTTCTGAGGCTTTGAAACTACAGAAAAAGTCAGAAAAAAAATATTTTAACATGCTTCTATCAGATAGTAATAAGTTTATAATAATTGTGACTTCACAAATCAGAATCTGTAATCTTCACTGGTCTTAGATACCAAGTGACTAGTAAACAAAACAAACTTAAGCTTTACTCATTAGCTGTTGGTAGCAACAATGAGAAACCTCTTTGTGATAGTCTAAACTCTAAAAAGATCTAAAAGCAAAAAGAAACTAGTATTCCTCAATTATCAAACACATCTGCTAGTAGAAAAATATGTGGGAACATGGACACATGTTTTCCAATTCATGGTCCAAACCATATGATTTGGCAGAGCTTGTAAACAATCAATTTGAATCCTAATGTTTGAATCCAGAAAATTCATTATTCAGAGACCATCAAGATGAGTTGATGAACCAAAGATATCAATACATCTTTTGTACCAAGTTACCTTTATTCAGGCTTTAGAACAAACAATTAGAGGGTTATAATTTTCAATCTAACTGCCCTCTATAAACAACTACTCCATAAAACAATCATTAACTATTAATTTATAAGAAAGCTATGAATTTCCAACAAATTGGCACCAAATGTACTTGGATGACATTTTATACAGATCAAGCATCAATGAGCAACAAAACACAAAGTCCATGTGCCAAAGAAAAGAACCTTATTGAAATGTTCATAACCAGTTTTGAATGTCTAGTAAAAGCGATTCATAAATTCTATAAATCAATGACAAATTTGAAATGGAGCATTTTTTTAAAGATTAGGAACAAACTATATGTAGAATGGTATAAAGGAAAATCAAAGTGAAAAAGGGTTTTCAAATTGTCGTTTCAATTTCGCTCCAAACTCTTACACAGTTCTTTGCGATTTTGTAATTTAACCATACATGCGTGTGTATATATCAGAGTTTTAAAAGGCTTTCTTGAGGCTCGCCTCGATGCTCGCCTCGCCTTGAGTCTAAAGTAAAACGCATCAAGGCTTTGAGTTTTAGGCATTACTCCCCAAAGGCTTGCGCATCATAGTTTGAGACATGTGCCTTAAGTGCGCTTTTTGCGCATAAGCATGTGAGGAGTATGCATATTATGAAGTTGCCTTGGGCGTTTGTTAAACTTAGTCTATTAGATTGTTTAAACATAAAAAATTAAAAAGAATCCATTTCTACAATTATATTTTATAGGGAAAATTAAGTAAATGATCAATCAAGAAAAACACAGTTAATAGTCAAGTGAGAAGCTCAATCACTGAAGTTAAGAATATCGATTTCTCTTTCAGTGAAGGAAAGCTTCCTTCTATGCAGTAAAATGTTCAACGCATTAAAGCGAAAAATATTTACATATTTATATTTAATTTTGTTTTTATTTTTTTAACTATTTAAAAATATTTAATTTATTCAGTAAATATTAAAATTTGAAATTTGAAATGCTTACGCCTCAATGCCCTAAGGCTTACGCCTCGCCTCATGAGAGGTAAAACGCCTTAAAGTACGCATTCGCCTTTAAAAACTTTGATATATATGATACATGTATCAAATATCACACAATGCAACATTTTTTAAACAAATACATAAAAGAAGAAGGAACTGACTCTGCTTGCATCAGGATCGAGATCGAGCAGCAAGGTGATAGTACAAGCAGCAAGGTGATAGTACAAGCAGCCAGCACAGTGAACTGCAAACAGAGTTACCTATGCAAACGGCAGCAGACTATTAAGATCAATAATCTTCAAGAAGTCCCTCTCTTTTGTGGAACCGAATATTTCTTATAGAAACTTACACATAGAAGTTTTGCACCTCAATTGAGACAAATGATTAGAAACTTCAAAATGATTAGCACAAAATATTACCACCTGGCTGCAGTACATCATGGTTTTTAAAGGATACAGTTACACCACAATCACCATCCTTAATTAGGATATTTCTCATGATGGAGGCATGGTTCACAACTCAAGGAGACTTGTGGCTCCATTTGCATGTTAAAGACATCAGAAGAACACTATGCTACAATCAATTGTTAATGATTACAATCAATTGTTGTGACTATGCTACTCAATGCATTCACCAAAGTTTATATAATAGGTGAAAGGCAAAGCAAACTCAGAGCAATCAAACCCGGTATTCCCTACCATGCTGGTGTGCCAAATTTGATATTCCCTTCCGTAATCATAACTGCAAAACAGAACAAGGATATTGCAATGAACAAATTCCATAAAAGCAAACCAAACTATGATGATATTCGCTAATCTTACGTAGAAAAGCTTCTCTTTGATATCCCTAATAGTTTCAAAGTCAGCAATCTTACTCACCATACCTTCACAAAAGACTTTTGTACTCCAATCAAAACAAAAGCAATTACTATGAAAAACATGAATGGCAAAAAAAAATACAATATATTTATATAAACAGAACAAAAATCTAGATAAAAACACTGTAAAGAGGACACAAATAAAAGCAAAGTGGAAGTCAAAATCTATACCTATTTTGTCCCAAACTACAGGGTCAATAAAGAGGCCAATCTCGATAGTTCAACCCATTCCCTCTTATCACTAGTCCAATATCCAGATCTGACAATGTGATCAATGAGAGTTTTCAAACTTGGAAATAAAAAAATAAAAAAATAAAAACTAATTTCTTTAGATCTAGATCAAGCTTAACAAAAGGAGGTACAACAGATTTCATTATCTAAGCTTTTGCTAAATCATGTGCAGGAAGAAATGTGAGCCCACATTTCATTTATCTTAACAATGAAATCTAGAGCACAAGACAAGCATGCACATAAGAACACAGTTTATTAATGGATGACATATGTT